CCCCGGAGACGAGCCGGAGCGCCGGCACGGGGGCGGGGAAGCCGCTTCCCTCTCGCCTGGCTCCGCTCCTTTCGCCTTCGTGTTCGAAGCGCTCTCAAGCTACAGTAGCGGGGGGAGGGGGGGATGGCGAAAGGGGGGGAGAATCTCGCCTACCCTTTCTATATTTAACGATTACCTAAATCCCAAGGGAAATGACCAAACCTCCAGGCTTGGGTCTTAAGGTATTTTCAGCGCCATTGGGCGTATTTATCCCGAGAGAGTTTTCCACAACAAGTTATTTCTAGTCTAGAGGAGGTCTCCGCCGCCCAGGGCCCTGCCTTAGCCCCGATTATAACGGGGGGCAGGACTCGGTGGCGGCGGGAGCCGCATCCCCCGCTCCCGGGCCAGGACCCGGGATGCTGCGCGGAGCCGCTCGGACAGGGCGGGCAGCAGCTCCTCCATCCCTGCCCTCTCTCTACCTCTGCTCGCCTTGAGTCAATCTGTGTTTTGAATCTGTGACTTGTTCTCGTTGCGGAAGTTGAAGGGGATCCAAGAATAGTTCAGATAGTGTGTGTAATTTCTAGAGCAGAACCCCGAAAGAAATGAAACGCCCGATTCCAGAATGACACTTTGATGTCACTTCAGTAGGTCCTGTGAGGTGGAATACGGTAAGCCATTTTCATTTAAGGAAAAATGAGAAAGAGGAGGGGGACCAGTGCTGATTTGTAAGGCTTTGGCCTTTTTTTTTAAAAGCTTTTTTTGTTGTTGCAGAAGCTCCTAACGCTCAGGAAGTGGAATCTGTGGTTTAGGGGGCCGAGCTCTGAAGGAGTTGAGAGAGACAGAAAAGAAAAAAAAAAAAAAAAAAGGCCAACTCAAGCACCATTAGTCCTTAAAGGGAGGCTAAATTTAAAGTCACCCAAACTAGCAGGCTGCGGCGCAAACCCCGGCTGCAGCCCGGGTTCCTTCACCCCTCTCAGCGGGTAAGCGCTCTTGCTTCTCTCGCTTCGCGTTGGCAGCTGCCGAGGGGCGGGCGGTGGCGGCAGCGCCCCTCACCTCCCCGCGCCGCGCCGCTCGCTTCCCCTTCTCCCGCCCCGTCCCCTCCCTTCCTCACCCCACCTCACCCCAGCTCGCCTT